CGAATGCGACCCCCAACCTACTGCAGCGTTTCGTGGGCCCATAGGGAGCTCCACCGAAGGCCCCAGTGGCACCGCCCGCATGCGTCCCCCTCCCGCGGCCCCATAAGGAATTCCACCGAAAGTCCCAGTGGCACCGCCCGCATGCGTCGGCCACCGCCCAGAGCAGCGTCTCGTGGCCCAGTGGTGAGCTCCACACAAAGACCCTAGCGGCACCTCCATGCGTTCCCCCCAACTAGTACAGCGCTTCGTGGCCTCATCGGGAACTCCAACGAGGGGCACCGCCCGCATGCGTCAGCCACACCCAAGACAGCGTTTCGTGGCCCATAGGGAGCCCCACCGAAGGCCCCAGTGGCACCGCCCGCATGTATCTCCCCTACCCATTACGGTACGTCCCTCACGCGTTTCGTGGCCCCATACGGAGCTCCACCGAAAGGGGCACCCACAACGCGTTACTCACAACTGCATATGGTTGTGTCCTTCGCCAGTGTAATTTTTGTTATTGTTTTGAAGAGACAGCGCCCCGCGTCCCACTCCTCCCGCTGACCCCTCCCTCCTCCCGTCAACCCCCTCACTTTGGCACACCCCTCACACGGTTCGTGGCCCCATCGGGAGCTCCACGGAAGGCCCCGATGGGGGTGCCCGCATGCGTCCTCCCCACTCAGTACAGCGTTTAGTGGCCCCAAAGGGAGCTCCACCGAAGGCCCCAGTGGGGGTGCCCGCATGCGTCCCCCCTACCCAGTGAAGCGTTTCGTGGTCTCATGGGGAGCTCCACCGAAGGTCCCAGTGGGGGTGCCTGCATGCGTCCCGAGAACCCAGTGAAGCGTTTCGTGGTCTCATGGGGAGCTCCACCGAAGGCCCCAGTGGGGGTGCCCGCATGCGTCCCGAGAACCCAGTGAAGCGTTTCGTGGTCTCATGGGGAGCTCCACCGAAGGCCCCAGGGGGGGTGCCCGCATGCGTCCCCCCCACCCAGTGCAGCGTTTCGTGGATTTATAGTGAGCTGCACCGACGGCCCCAGTGGGGGTGCCCGCGTCGCTTCGTGGCCCAAAGGGGAGCTCCACTGAAGGCCCTTGTGGAGGTGCCCGCATGCGTCCCCCCCTCCCAGTACAGCGTTTAGTGGCCCCAAAGGGAGCTCCACCGAAGGCCCCGGTGGGGGTGCCCGCATGCGCCCCCCCACCCAGAACATCGTTTCGTGGCCACATAGGGAGCTCCACCGACGACCCCAGTGGGGGTGCCCGCATGCGCCCCCCCACCCAGTGCAGCGTTTCGTGGTCTCATAGGGAGCTCCACCGAAGGCTCCAGTGGGGGTGCTTGCATGCGTCACCCCCACCCAGTACAGCGTTTCGTGGATTTATAGGGAGCTCCACCGACGACCCCAGTGGGGGTGCCCGCATGCGCCCCCCACCCCACCCAGTACAGCGCTTCGTGGCCCCTTCAGGAGCTTCACCAAAGGCCCCAGTTGGTGTGCCCGCATACGTCCCCCCACCCAGTACAGCGCTTCGTGGCCCCATTGGTTGGTTCCCGAACTACAGCAACACCGGCTCCCGTTTGATATTTCCTTACAATGTATTCCCTGCCTTAGGGGCTGAACGAAATGCACGTTGCAGGTAAGGCAAAGGAGGTGTGTTCGAAGACGACGAGGGCGGGTATCGAGGATGTGGGATATTTGTGTTGAATCGCCCGCGAGCAGATAAGAGCACATTGTCTTAACATGATTGTTGCTGTTGATGCTGTTGCTGTTGTTGTTGTTGTTGAACATTATTTATTCTAAAGAATAATTATTGTTGGGCCCCCTGGTGCGCGCCCCCCCTGCGCCGCCTAGGCCGCAGCTACATTTTCATCATTTTCGTGAGGAAGCCTCAGAAAAGAGGGTGTGTACAGGATCCGGTTGTTTTGTTGTAATCCGCTTTCCCTTGCAAAAAACAATATAAAATGACATTTCTTGTTCTAATATAATCAAATTTCAAGAATCCCTTGCAAAAAATAAGGTAAAGTGGACATTCGCGCGCGCAAGACGAAATCCTTCCAAAACCTTAGTGTTCGCAGCGATTTTAACATAAAAACATCAAAAAACCAATGGTTTTTCAACAAAAAAAATGTCAAAATCTCATCCCGCGCGCTCTTGCGGATTCGTAGGAAACCCAACACTTTTTAAACATTTCTGTCAAACGGGCTTTTGCGAGCAACTTTTTCGAACTTCTGCGACAACGGTTGCGCACCTGCCAGGGCCATCATCCCTGTCAAATAATACCATGCGGGACACATTCGTTTTTTCTTCGCGCGCGCACGCCGTCGTCGTCGGCCGCGGGGCCCTGAATAGTAGCCACGGTCGTCCGCATGCCACGAAGTGAAGTGTCCGAACGTCATAGGGCGGGAAGCTGGGTGTGGGTGGTGGCGAAGAGTCGTTTGGAAATTTGGTAGAGCTTGAACCGGCCCCCCCACAAAGTGGGGGTATTGCCCGCCTCCTATGAAAACCCTGGCACTGGTGAGAACGGTGTGTCCCCACGTGCTAGTAATTGTTGTTGTTGTTGTTGTTGTTGTTGTTGTTGTTGTTGTTGTTGTTGTTGTTGTTGTTGTTGTTGTTGTTGTTGTTATTGGTGGTGTTGTGATTGTTGTTGTGGTTGTTGTTGTGGTTGTTGTTGTTGTTGTTGTTGAACTCTAATTACTGAAAAATAATTATTGTTGATCCCCCCCTCCGGCGGACATTGTATTTTTTCAATTGAAGTGCCCCTTTCCGGGGCTCGCACCCTGTTTTTTATCAGGGAAAGTCGTGGGCATCAAACTGCGTTGTTGGCCCCCCGGACAACAACAACAACGGCTCCCGCCTGATACTTCCTCCAAATTTACTCAGGACCCCCGCCCCCGCCTGGGACTTCCTCGCAGTTTACTCAGGCGGAGGCGCTCCCGCCTGAGACTTCCTCGCAAATTACTCCGGACCCCCGCCCCCGCCCCCGCCCCCGCCTTACGAGTCGCTCTCTCTCTCTCTCTCTCTCCCTCTAAATCGTCCTCCCCCCTCCGCGTCCCGTCCCTCCTAGCATCTTCCCTCCTCCCTCGTCCCTCCCTGCTCCCTTCCCTCCTCCCTCGTCCCTCCGCCCGCCCTTCCAAAGAGAAATAATCCCCCTAAAGGGGGTACGTTCGAATACTAAGAGGGCGGGTATCGAGGGTGTGCCTCGTGATTCATTCAGGATTCACCCTTTAGTCACCCGCCCGCCAGGTTTCGCCCGCCCGATCCGCCTGTTACAGCCCGCCCGTTCGCTCTCTTGGCATCTCGCCCGCCCGCTTTAAGCCACCGCCCGCCCGACCCGCCAGCGAGGGTCCGCCGCCCGACCCGTCCGTTGGCGTCCGCCCGCCCCGCCAGCCCGACCCGCCCCTCAGAGTCCGCCGCTCGACCCGTCTGTCTGGTTCGTCCGTTTGTTTACCTCCTCTTTTGCCCCCCTCCCCTCCTGCTAACCTCTTTCGTCCTCCATCCATCCTCCCCCCCTTGCCCCTTCCCTCCTCCCTCCCTCCCCCCACTCTTTTCCTCCTCGCTCTCCCTTCCTCCTTCCCCCTGCTCTTCCTGTTTTAGGGGCTGCGCCAACTACACGTGGCGAGTAAAAAAGATATACCCCCAAAGGGGTATGACCGAAGACGAAGAGGGTGGGTATCGAGGGTTTGGGATTTACATATTGAGTGACGCGCGCGCATATAAGAGCGATCAGTCTTAAGATGATTGTTGTTGTTGTTGTTGTTGTTGTTGTTGTTGTTGTTGTTGTTGTTGTTGTTGTTGTTGTTGTTGTTGTTTTGTTGCTGTTGTTGCTGCTGTTGCTGCTGTTGCTGCATGCTCATTTCTGAGTAATGATTATGGGTTCCCCCTGCCCGGGAACCATTATATTTTTGGATGTAAGTGCTTCTCCTGGGGCTCGTTCACTGTTTTCTTACGAAGGAAAGCGAGGTGTTTCCAAACTGGGCCCCTGGCCCCCGGTTTACAACAATAGCGGATGCCGCCACAGATTTCCTCACAAGTTATTCCCAAATCGCGTTCTCGCGCGGGAGTTCCTCACAATTCATACAGACATCGCGCTCTCGCGTGGGACTTCCTCGCAATTTATTCAGACGCCTCGCCCTCGACACTCAGTAATCACGCTCTCTCTGTGGCCTACCTCACGATTTATTTGGGAATCGAGTTATCACTCGAGACCTCCTCGCGATTCATGCAGGACGCGCGCTTTAGCAACCCGCCTGCTTGACCTGGCCGCCTGTGCCCGCCTTCCCGGCCCGCCCGTTAGGGTCCACCCGCCCGATCAGCCCGTTTGGTTCTGCCATGTGCTTCCTGCTCCCAGCCCCCCTCCTGCTATGCTCTTTTGCGCTCCATCCTCCTCCCTCCCCCTTGTCCCTTCCTTCCGTACCGATCTCGCAACAGTTCTTACGATCAGTCTCACAATCGATGTCACAATCGATCTCTTGATCGATCTCAATCCCTCTATAGATCCCACAAGCGATCCCACCATCGATCTCACAGCAGATCTCACGACCGATCTCACAGCGGATCGCACTATCGATCTCCCAAGCGATCTCACTATCGACCTCGCCGCCCTGCTCCGGGACACTGACTCGCGCCGCCCTGCTCCAGGACACGGAACACCGTCGGGACACCCCCTGCCATCGCGCTCCGGGGGGGGGGGAGGGGCGGGCAACCGGCTCCAGAGCCCCTAGCCACGGCGGCACCATTCCTCTCGCGCGCCCGCGCAGCTTCGCCTCGCCCGCACGCGCGACACGAACACGAAGCCGAGACCGATTTTGCGGTGAGGGGCGGACCGTTCCGCTGCGATCTCGCCCCCCAACCTCCGATATGCACACGAGGCGGAATACCGACTGCGCTCCTGGCCTGGCCAGTCCTGGGCCAGGGATCGGCGCACGCGTGCGACGTCTTGGGCACGCCAGGCTGGCGTGTCCACCGATTCCTGGGCCCCGGGATGGGCCCTGCCGGGATCGGAGTCGGTGCTCAGTGGGCGCTCTCCCGACAGGTACGCGGAGGGTTCAGACGAGTACCAGGTTCGGCGGCGAGCCCGGGGGGAAGTGAGAACCCTTCTCAGAAGGCTCGGAAGTCCCCAGGCCTTCTGAGAAGGTTTCTAAGCCTTCCCCGAAGACAAAGAAACCTCCCAGAATGCCAGAGGCCTTCTCTGAGAAGCCCTTCCGCCTTCTGAGAAGGCCTTCTCCTTCTCACTTCCCCCCTCGCTCGCCGCCGACAGGTCTTCCAGGCTTTCCCCTCCGGCGGTGACTGGGCCGCCACAGTCACGGGCCTCCCCAATGGGCAGGTCGCGCGCGTGCAGTGCAGGGGCTACTCGGCGGATCTTTCGATCGTCGTGGCATCGAGCGTGTCGGACAGTTTCGCTTGTGGCCATGCGGTCGCCGCCCTGTACGAGCTGCGGGGCAACGACGGGCTCGCGGGCCTGACGCACGCTGAGCTGCGCGGCTTCCTCGAGGGCCAGTTGGCCGGCGTGGCCCTCGAGAGCATCTTCGTTGCCACGTCCACAGACGGTGGCAGCAGCTTCAACACGTGCCTCGGGGGCGCGGCCCAGGGGCTTCAGGGGACACGCAGGCTGTCGAGCAGCGCCTCGAGCCTCCAGGTGCAGGCCCGGGTCCTCGTCAATGATACGTCCGACCAGGGCATTGGCGCGATCATGGAAACGATGAGGACCTTGACGACTGGTAACTTGCAGAGTTGGGCTGCCACCGCCAGCGTCGGCGACGTCACTGCCGAGATGCTCTCGCAGCCGGAAGTTCTCAGCTCCCAGGACAGTGACTCCACGCTCGGGTCCCTGGAAGTCATCGCCGAGGGGTTTGGCCACTCGGATCCGATGTTAGAGCCCCCTTTCGACGCCTCGTACGGCGGACCCTATTCCACGAACGTGACGAGCGTGTGGTTCAAGGTGGTGCCTCGTGCGAGTAGCGATTCGGCCCACTCGGTGTTGATCAATGGCGAAGAGACTGGGCGGTCTTACGAGATCGAGGACGTATACCCCGCGCGGATGGGCTTCACTATCACTGTCACCGCGGCCGACCGGGTAAGCACGTCGACCTATTTCATCTGGGTTTCATATCCTGAAGTACCTTGCTCGGCCACTTGCCACAACGGGTATTGTAATGGCCTCTCTGGACAGTGCGAGTGCAGAGAAGGCTACTCTGACGGCACTTCTGCCTGCAGCGCATTCTGCCCAGGCTCCGGGGGCACGTGCAGCGGCCACGGCAAGTGCTGCGACGTCCACGTGCTGTCCCAGCCCCTGGCGGTGCAGGAGTCGCTCGGCTGCTCGGCAGACTTCATCGACACGTGTGCGTGCGACCTCTCCTACACCGGCGAGGGCTGCTCTCGGCGCGAGTGCCCAGACTGCCAGAACGGCAGGCCCTGCTTGAATGGCACTCAGGACCTGGAGTCCGCCTGGACGTGCGACTGCGGGGATGGGTTCACTGGCAACCTCTGCCAGCACAGGAACCTCGAAGAAGGGAACACGTCATAAACATCAACTTTCGGAGCTCCGCGCGGATTTCTCGGATCTGCGCCTGGACCCCCTGGCGGCGCCTCCGGCACCGCTCCTGGCGCGCTCCGCGCGTCAGGGAGGGGGGTCCAGCGCGGGTCTCAGCAATCCGCGCGGAGCGCCAAACGTTTCTGTTCATGCCGTCTTTTCTCCTTCTGGAATGGGGGGGGGATGCGAGCTGTCCACATGCGTACACTTGTAATGTTCCCCTATTTTTGCCTTGATCGCCAGAAAGAATTTCGAGCGCCAGAAAAGTACCCCAAAACTCTAGAGTTTTCACTTGTCGGGCCCTGGGAGACACTGTTTCGACACTGTTTCGACACTCTTTCGACACTCTTTCGACACTCTTGCGGGTGCTCGAAATTATTTCTGGGATGCGTTCCTTAAGTCGGACGGGAACAACATACGCGCACACCGATCCCGGCCAGGCCGAGCCCGGGGCCGAGGCATCGGTGCGTGCGGCTCCCAGGCCTGTGCCCGCAGGGCGCCCCTGCCAGCCCTGGGCCCGAGGCGGGCCTGGGCAGGGTCGGTGCAGGTGGGCAGTGCCGAGGGTTTGAGGAATCGAGGAGTCGAGGATTGGAGGATCGAGGAGTCGAGGATTGGAGGAATCGAGGATTTGAGGAATTTGAGGATCGAGGGTTTGAGGAATCGAGGAGTCGAGGAGTCGAGGATTGGAGTTGGGCAGTGCCGAGGATTTGAGGAGTCGAGGAGTCGAGGGCAGTGCTCGGGGGTGGACAGACCTCCTACCCTGACACGTCGATTAAGGAATTGGCCGTTTTCGGTTCGCGACAGGGCGTCGCGGCCGTCATTTGGCGGGTCCAGGTCCGGCGGTTTCGGTCCCAGGCCGATGCCACTAAGGGGAGGTTTACTAAAGGGAGGTTTGTCCACCGCCGAAGTGCCGAGGATTTGAGGAATCGAGGAGTCGAGGATTGGAGGATCGAGGTTTCGATGATTCGGGGAGTCGACGGAAGTGGGCAGCGTATCTGGCGTTCTCCCGAGGAAGTGCCCGAACGACTGCTCCGGGAACGGGGTCTGCGACACGGACACCGGAGAGTGCGCTTGCAGCGAGGGCTGTCGGGTGTGGCCAGAAGAGTCCCTGGCCCAATGTGGCCCCAGCTTTCCTGGGAAGGCCCAGGCGGCCTCCAGAGCACCAGGGCACCCCTCGCGAGGCCAAAGCGGTGCGACCAGCTGGGGCTGCCTTAGTCCAGGATCGCCTCTGCCAACCTCCGAGGCTGGGAATTGGCAGACTGCAGCTGGGAAGCTGCCAGCACCGTGCCCATCGAGAACGCCGTGGAGGTGCAGCTCGTGTGGGGCATATCCGAGTACAACCAGTCCCGCCAGGCAGTGTACGACCTAGGCCCTGGGGAGCAGGAGGGGTGTTCCTGCTTTGACATTCCCGCCCCCCTCTCCCTGCGCGCGCGAGGGGGACGGAGGAGGAGGGAGGGAGAAGGGCGGAGGAGGAGGAGGAGGAGGAGGAGGAGGAGGAGGGGGAGGAGGATTACGGAGGAGGTGGATGAAGGAGGAGGAGGAAGGGGGACTTTGAGGAAGTAGGAGGAGGATGAGGAGGGAAGGGGAAGGACGGAAGAGGAGCCACACTAATAACACGAACATGATGGTTTGCTGCTGACGCTGATACAACTGCTGATTGTGATGATGAGTGCTGGTGGTGGTGATTCTTAAATGAGGAGGGTCTGGGGTGAATCGATGTAAAGAAATAGTGAGATGACATAGCGGGAGGAAGGAGGGATGATAGATGATTGAAGGCAAAAGATGGTTGAGGAATGAGGGATGAGGAATACGATGTTGCTAAGAGGTGTGCTGATGTCGCTACTGGTAATGATGATGCTGAGAAGACTGCAGACAGTATGATGATTGTTGTATTGTTGATGATAATGGTTCGGTAAGTGTGGTAATCATGGCGACGCCACCATCGCCGACAACGACGAATTTAACGTTGTTGGTGACGACAGTGATGATGCCACTTCGCATAATGATTAGCCTGCTGATGCCGATAAGGATGCTGATATTGATGCTGCTGCTGACAACGCTGATGATGATGCTGATGATGATGATGATGATGACAGTATGAGGACGCTGATGATGATGAGGAGGAGGATGCTGATGATGTTGATGATGCGGAGGATGACGATGATGATGATGATGATGATGATGACGATGATGATGATGATGATGATGATGATGATGATGATGATGATGACGATGCTGCTGCTGATGATGATGATGGTGGTGATGCTGATGATTGTTGTGATACTGCTGACTATGCTTCTGCTGCTGATGATGATGCTGATGAGGTTGGTGATTCATTTCATGATGATGCTGGTGCTGATGCTGATGAGGATGACGATGCTGATGATAATGCTGATGATGATACTGGTGATGCTGATGATTAGCATGATGCTGCTGCTGAGGAGGAGGAGGAGGGGGGATCTGCAGGATGATGATGATGATGATGATGATGATGATGATGATGATGATGATGATGATGATGATGATGATGATGATGATGATGCTGATGATGATGATGATGATGATGATGATGATGATGATGATGATGATGATGATGATGATGATGATGATACTTGCCCACCTGTCTGCGGCAAATCCCGCCACCGTGCCAGCCCAGCCAAGCACCTCGGGTCAGGACTGTACGGAGGGCGCACGGGAGGCCGTGACGTGTGACCACGCTGGCCAACTGGCCCTTTCCAGGTTAGTGGGTCGATCATGTTTAGTATGTAAGCTGTCCCCAGTGCTATGTGCGAAGAGGACATTTTGTGATGCACCACGAGGTCGAAGAGGGCCGGCGGTTTGAAATGATGAGGATGTCCCGAGCGAGACGTTTGGTTTATATAGTGTGTCGACGAAGTCTCATGCGAAACGCTTGTTTGCAGAGCTGGGGGATGTCTCGAGCGAAGCGCTGGTTCTGCAGGGTCTGCTGAGAATGTTCAGAATGTCACACATTTGTTTCACATGTCCAGGCCACCCAGGGGCATATCTGATATTAGGTCGTCGGACTCTTCGCACGTGCGGAGGGGGTATAGAACATGCGTCTGGCGCCCGTTCGCTTGGCACGTGTTTTCACGTGTCCAGGCCACACAGGGAGGAGATCTAACATGTGGTCGTCGGGTTGCACAGCGTAGAATCCGTGCGCGGAGGGGGTGTCTCACATGTGTTTGGCGCCTGTGTATTTGGCAAATTTGGCAAGTGTTTCCACGTGTTATAGGCCACCCAGGTGGATACCCAACATGGTTTCCCCGAGCTGGAACCACGAGTTTTACGTGTCCAGGGCACCCAGGGGGTTATCTCATTTGGTTGCCCGAGCTGGATCAAGTGTTTTTTTACATGTCCTGGACGCCCAGGGGGTTATCTGACATGGTTGTCCAGGACACCTAGGGGGGTATTCAGCATGGTGCCCCAATGCTGGAACTCTACATTTTTACGTGTCCAGGCCACCCAGACAGAGATATCTAAGATGTGGTCGTCTGGGCGCCCCAAATTGGGGGGAGGAGGCACGGTACCCAGAACACATCAACTCATCGGCACTATATGTGTAATAACGTGTCACATGACACTATCTGTGTTTTTGTCGGCCAGTGGTTTTCCAGATTTCCCACTGGGGTATCTACCATGTGGTGGTCCCGAGCTGGGTCCATGTGTTCCACATGCCCAGGCCACCCAGAGGGTATCTAAGATGGTGGTCCCGAGCTGGAAACACAGGTTTACTTGTCCAGGTCACCCAGGTGGGTATCTAACATGGTTGCTACATGGGTTCCTCTCGCCCGTGAGCCAAAGCCAGGTGTGTTCTACATGGGTCACTTTCGCTCGTGAGCCCAAGACAGGTGTACTTACATGGGTTCCTTTCGTCTTTGAGCTCAAACCATGTGTTTTCACATGGCTTCCTTTCGCCCGTGAGCAACTAGGTGTGTTCACGTGGTTTTCTTTCGACCGCCATCGCGAGTCATGTACTTTTGCATGGGTTCCTTTCGCCCGTGAGCCCAAACCAGGTGTTCTCGCGTTGGTTTCTCTCGCCCGTCAGCGCAAGTCATGTTTTTTACGTGGGATCCTTTCGCCCGTGAGCTCAAGCCTTGTGTTTTACGTGGTTTTTTTCGCCGTGAAGCCAAGACTATGGGTACCTACATGGGTTTATTTCGCCCGTGAGTCCACACTGATTCGGTTCGTCTTGGCGCAGTTCGTCGTGTTTCGGTTCGCCGCGTTTCGGTCTGTCCATTCACCGTACGTTTCGCCTCGGCTCAGATTCGCCCCCTCTTGGTTCGTTCCGTTTCGGAACTGAGTCGGATCTAGAATTCGAGCTGGTTGAGCGCCCCGCCCGCTTCGATTGCTACCAGCTGTGGGCGAGCTATGCGTTCAGGCAGCTCGAACTTAAGTTCCATATCAGTTCGGTCTGGACTTGCATGCCACGGACGATTAGATCCACGGCGCAATAAAGCACACCTCAGCTGAACTCGGCATGATACATTTCAATTCAAAACGGCACATCGCCGCATAGCCAGTGCCATTCTTGCAGGTGCCCGTCATCCAGTCAGGTGTCTTGAGAACGTTTCCATGCTTGTATTTCAATGCTATTTTCCTGGTTCGTGGGTCGATCATGCTTCTTCCTCTAGTGTGGGTTGTCTGTTTGTTTTCTCGTTGTTGTGCCGTCGCTCATCTCTGGTGGACTTCGTCCGAGAAGCATCCTGGATGGATTCCGAGCGAGGGTGTCCCCGCAGTGCGCGCTCCCGGATGCCGGGCGACCCGAGCAGCTCGAGGCGGTCGGTCTCTGTATCGACCCCCAGAGGCCGGGTTCGGGCCCGCGGACCGTCCCATCAAGCAGTGGCGAAGCGTCCCGGCTCGCCTATAGCCCCACCAAAGGATGTTCTAAGAACCCTTCGTGGTTCCCACGGAATGTTCTCAGAACAGTTCTGGCGGAGCCTGCCTTGTTTTAACTCATCGGGTTTCTGTTCTAAGAACAACATTGCTTTTTGTTCTTAGAACATTTTTGGGTTCTAAGAACATTTCGTGGTAGGACTATAGGAATGCTGGGACGGTCGGTCCCTGCTCAACCTTGAGGGTTTCCATGGAGGCTACGTGGACCATCGTGGGGCTGTCTTGGGCTCCTGTGGGGCTCCTCTTGGTGCCGTCTTGGACCTCTCTCTCTCTCGGTCGCCTGGGGAGGCTTGGGGTCGTCTCGGGGGCCTCTTGGAGCCCTCTTGAGCTGCCCTGGGTCCCTCTTGGGGCCATCTTGGGGCTCTCTTGAGGCTGTCCTGGACCGTCTGGGGGCTTCTTGAGACCGTCCTTGGACTCCTGGTATGACCATAGGAATGCCGGGACGGTCGGTCCCTGCTCAATCCCAGGGGGCGAGGCAGGGGGAGGGGCAGGAGGGCGAGGAGGGGGAGGAAGAGGGGGAGGAGGGGGAGGAGGTGGAGGAGGAGGAGGAGGAGGAGGAGGAGGAGGACGAGGAGGACGAGGAGGAGGAGGAGGAGGAGGAGGAGAGGAGGCGCCAGCCCAGGGAGGGGGCCGAGAGGCCGGGGGGCCGGCCGTCGTGCTCCTGCGGCACAGGCTTCCGCCTCGAGGACGCCACGACGCAGCGCTGGCTCCTGGACACCTGCGCCGCGGCGCTCGCAGAGGCGAGGCTGCAGGTGGGGGGGCCGCCCAATCTCGCAGGCCTCGAGGTTGACACCAACACCAATATCGGCGGTGTTCCTCCACCGAGGAAAGAAGATCCCGATCTCGGTGATGGTGGCAGTATTCTGGCTTCCAAGGTGACCGAAATATTACCACCAACACCGAAATCTAGGATCATATCTCCCCTGTGGTGGCAGCCCCCTGTCTTGGTGTTGGTGCCTATTTTCAGGCCTCCAACAATCGTTTGTGGAGGAGGGCGAGGAGAGAGGAGCGCGAGAGGCTGGCCCTCGAGGGGGCGAAGGGGTTGGCACCTCCTCCTCGGCGGGAGGCGGCGGAAGGGCGGCGGGAGTCAGCGAGAGTAAAGCGAGGGCAGCTCCGGCGGGGGAGGGCGGCGGAGGTAAATTGAGGTGGAGGGGGAGATGGGCGCCCAATCGCGTAGAGGGGCGAAAAGGCGAACCAGGAAATCTAGCCGCGAACCGGAAGTTCGGCCCCGAACGGGGTATTTGTTTTCGGGCAAACGGGGAATTGTTTTCGGGCGAAAGGGGAATTTCTTTGGGAGATCAGAGGATTTTGTCTGGTCGAACGAGGACATATTCCGGTTCAGCGAGGACATTCTCTTGGCCGAGCGAGGACTATTTCTTTCGGATTTGGTTCTTCGGGGATGAGCTCCGTTGCCAGTTGCGTTGTGATTTTCGGCGCAGGGTTTTACTTCATGATTCCGACTTCGTGTAGTTGCAGGTCTACGGGTTCTTCTGGGGGTCGGGTCGTGCTTTTTACATCGATGTCGTCGCGTTGGGCCTTCTTTCTGGGTTCCGCGCTGCATCAGGCTTCCTTCGGCTTCACTTGCCCTGTGCTGGAATGTTCCTCACGGCTTGCGGCTCCTTGGCCGTCCTCAGCGGAAGTCCGCTAGCGTAGGGTGGGCGGGTCCTGAGTTCTCTGCCTTCTCATGTCTTGGTTGTTGGTGCTCTCACGTTTCGTTTTCTGTGTGTAGAGATTATTGTTGTTTGCACGTTCTTGAGTTCTAGCGACGGCAGCTGATTCCGTTTTTTTGGCGGTCCGTGGGGGGGGTTCTCACTTTTTGCCATCGTCGCGCGTTCGTTCGCTGCAGGCGACGCCTCATTCGGCTGCCTCAGAGGCTCCCTGGATTTCATGGCATTCCCCGTGCGTTCTCTTCCACGATGTGTGTGTGTGTGTGTGTGTGTGTGTGTGTCTGCGTGCGTGCGTGCGTGCGTGCGTGCGTGCGTGTGTTTGTGTGTGTGTGTGTGTGTGTGTGTGTGTGTGCGCCTGCGTGCGTGCGTGCGCGCGTGCGTGCGTGCGCGCACGCGCGTGTGTGCGTGTGCGTGTGCGTGTGCGTGTGCATGTGTGTGTGTGTGTGTGTGTGTCTGTGTTTGTGTGTGTGCGTGTGTGTGTGTGTGTGTGTGTGTGTGTGTGTGTGTGTGTGTGTGTGTGTGTGTGTGTGTCAGGCGCTGTTCGCTGCGCATGCCTCTGGGCCAGTCCCTGGCCTCCTCGTCGTCCACTTTATTATGTTGTTACCGGTTGGCTTATGCCACTCTCCATTCACCGTAGCTCGTCTATCCACCGTCTCCCCCCGCCATCCACGCCTGGATAGTTATGGCGGCCGGCTGATGCGTGGCCCTAAGTGGCCACTGACGGCTCGGGCGGTTAGTCGCGCGTTTTCGGTGTTTTCGACCTACGCCTCGACGCTGCGTGCGAGGCCGCGACGCCAACAAAAAGTGTGTAGGCTCGGTTGCGGGCTTGAGCTGCTTGATGCTGGCTGCCACAGACACGGAAACCGCAGGAGATCATTGGCGGGTGCATCTAGTTTGAGACTTTGAATTGAGGCACAGGCCTGCTTCGATTTGTTCTGGAAGTCGTTTATGCGCCCGCGTGACCGTTTCGCGGGTCCGTTTCGCAAAAGTGAGGTTCGTGGTGTATGCGGATCCTCCGGGAAATACTCGCAGCCTCGGGGAGGATGGATGGAGTGACGGGGTGGGGGGAAAGAGGAGGGCGAGGAGGAGAATGGAGTGGAGAGGGGGAGGGAGGAGGAGGAGGAGGAGGAGGAGGAGGAGGAGGAGGAGGAGGACAAATAATAGTAAGAGGAGGAGGAGAAGGATGATGATGATGCTGATGATGATGATGATGATGATGCTGATGATGATGATGCTGATGTTGATGATGATGATGATGATGATGATGATGATGATGATGATGATGATGATGATGGTGATGATGATGATGAACATGTTGATGATGCTGAGGAAGAGGAGAAGGAGGAGGATAAGGAGGAGGAGAAGGATGAGGAAGAGGAGGATGATGAAGAGGAGGAGGAGGAGGAGGAGGAGGAGGAGGATGAAGGCGTGCTTCTGCTGGCTGATTCAGTCGGCCTGGCGTTGCTCCTGAATGCCAGAGGGCTTTGGCGTAGCGTTCGCCCGACAAAATGGTTACTGCCCTAAACGAGGCCTCGTTTAGGGCAGTTACCGCTTGGCGTTCCAAGCGGCGGGCGGGCGGGCGGTTGGGCGGGCGGGCGGGCGCGCGCGCGCGGGCTGGCGGGCGGGCGGGCGGGCGAGGGCGGGCGCGCGGGCGGGCGAGCTCGCGGGCGCCAGCGCGGGCGGGGCGCGCGGGCGACAGGGCTGCCGGGCGGGCGCGCGAGCAGTCGCGCTGGCAGGGGGCCGGGCGGGCGGGCGCGCAGGCGGGCGCGCGCGCGGGCGGGCGCGCGGGTGAGCGGTTGCGCAAGCGAGCGGTTGCGCTGGCTGGTGGCGCGCGCGCGGGCGGGCGAGCGGGCGGTCGCGCCAGCGGGCGGGCGGGCGCGCGGACGGGCGCGCGGGGCGGGCGAGTGGGCTGGCGGGGGGCGGTTGCGCGGGCGCGCGGGCGGCGGCGGCGAGCGGGCGGTCGCGCGGAGTGGCGGGCGCGCATGCTGGCGGGCGGGCGGGTGGGCGCGCGGGCTGGCGGGCGCGCGGGATGGCGAGCGCGCAGGCGGGCGGGCGGCCGGGCAGGCTGCCAGGCGGGCGCGCGGGCTGGTGGGCGGGCGCGCGGGCGAGCGGGCGCGTGGGCGGGCGGGCGCGCGGGCGGGCGAGCGAACGGGCGCGCAGGCGGGCGGGCAACTGGATGGGCGAGCTGCGGGCGCGTGGGCGGGCGACCGATCGAGCGCGCGGGGGTGCGGGGGTGCGGGTGAGCAGGCGGCCGCGTAAGCAGTGCGGGTGTGGTCGTCGTCTTCGTCTTCGTCTTCGTCGTCGTCGTCGTTGTTGTTGAGTTCTCACCGCTGAAGAATAAGTGTTGTGGATCCCCCCCTCCAGTGCATTGCTTTTTTCGATTGAAGTGTTCCCCCCGAGGCTCGCACCCGGTTTTTTAACAGGGAAAGTCGCGGGGTTCAAATTGGGCCCCTGGCCCCCGGTTTACAACAACAGCGGCTCCCGCCTGATATAATGTATACCCAAATCGCGCTCTCGCGCGGGACTTCCTCACAATTCATGTGCGCATCGCGCTCTCTCTCGCGAGGGACTTCGTCGCAATTTATTCAGATGGTGCGCCCTCGGCGCTCAGAAATCACGCTCTCGCCTTGGCATTTCTCGCGATTTACTTGGGAATCGCGCTATCGCTCGAGACCTCCTCGCGATTCATGCAGGACCCACGCTTCAGCAACCCGCCTGCTCGACCCGGTCGCCTGGGCCCGCCTTCCCGACCTGCCCTGGGTCTGCCCACCCGATCTGCCCGTCTGGTTCTACCACTTGTTTTCTGCTCCTTGCCTAATTTCTCTCGTGCTCCATTCTTCCCCCTCCCCCTTCCACCCGTCCTCGCTTCCCTTGTTTTAGGGGCTGCACCATATGCGCGTGGCAGGTAAGGAGATATACCCCCAAGGGGGTACGATCGAAGACGACGAGGGCGGGTACCGAAGGTTTGGGATATACGTATGGATTGTCACGTGGGAAGATAGGAGCGAACAGTCTTAAACTGACTGCTGTTGAACACTATTACTTCTAAAGAATTATTATTGTTGGACCCCCTGGTGCACGCCCCCCGCCCAAAACCTAGGCCGCAGCTACATTTTCATCATTTTTCTGCGAAAGCTTCAGAAAAGTGGATTACCCCCGGATCCGGTTTTTTGTTGACGCTCGTTTTCCCTTGCAAAAAACAATAGAAAATGAAAATTCTTGTTCTTAGTTGATCAAATTTCAAGAATCCCTTGCAAAAAATAAGGTAAAGTGGACATTCGCGCTCGCAAGACGAAATCCTTCCAAAACCTTAGGTTTCGTAGCGATTTTAACATAAAAACATCAAAAACCCAATGGTTTTTTAAGAAAAAATTGTCAAAATGTCCTTCCGCGCGCTCTTGCGGATTCATAGGAAACACACCACTTTTTAAACATTTCTGTCAAAAGGGTCTTTGCGTGCTACTTCTTCAGGTGCTTTGAACTTCTCCAACAACGGTTGCGCGCCTGCGAGGGCCACCATCCCTTGCAAAAAATGAGACGAAGTGCACATGCGCGCGGCCGCCGCGCGCGCATGTCGAAATCCTGCCAAACACAATGGGTTTTCAATAATTTCAAGATGCGATGTTCAGAAAACATATGAAAACGCACTACTTTCTCATCCGAAAAATCTCGAAATCCATTCGCGGTCTCTTGATGAATCTTTAAAACCCAAGATGGCCCCAACAGGCGCGCAAGATGGCCCCAAGAGGCGTCCATGAGGCCCAAAGAAAGGTGGCTCCAAGCGACCCCCAAGATGGCCCCAGGAGGCGTTCTAGAGGCCCCAAGAGTCCGCCGTGAGGGTCCAATAAGCCCCCAAGAGGCCCCAAGATGGTTCCAAGGAGCCCCCCAAAGGCTCTCAAGTGGACCCCAAACCGCGCCAGGAGGCTTCCCCCCTTCCCCAAGAGGACCCCAAGCGGCCCCAGGAAGGCCCCCGACTGCTGACGCACATATCCGTAGCCATCTCGGATCAAGGTATCGCCTGTGTTCTTGGATCATGGCTTTGACGGCGAAAGACCTTCACGAGCAGTATGGCCCTGAGCTGTCGC